ATCAATTTAGCAATGTTAGGATGATCAACATGCACTATAATTCCGAGCTCAGATAAGAAATCGATGGTCATCTCATCCGATGTACCGCGGTTTAGCCGCTTAATCGCGACGAACATCCCACTTTTCAATTGCCCTTTGTAAACCTCTGCATAACCTCCTTCTCCTATCAGATTTTCTTCTCAAGAAAACAAGAACATTATCAAATGAATGTTTATAAAAACTAAACATAAAATGATCGAGTCGTATGATGAAATCAAAAAATACCGGGGCTGAAGTTATTGGTTGCTTCTTGAAGATCCGAAAGCGAGAAGTTCGTCCAGGAAGATTTAAAACCGCCTAGTTCAGCATCAAGAGCTGAACATAGATTAGGAAGTATGTCATCTCTAAATCTTTTGCTATTTTTCCTAGTAAGCGTAGGCTTGACTGGAGGTAAGGATTGAGAAGTGGGTCCTCTTTTCATAATCCGAGAGAATCCGCGCCATTGAACAATCTGAGATATACCATTTTGAGATTCAGAGTATGATGAAACTTTGGCCTTATTACCAGCAGTTGGCTCTGATTCTATAGACTCTGCACTTCCCGTAGATTCTTCATTTGGTTCTATGCATTCCGTGGTGGTCGTCAGCAGTCCTCGAATTCGGTCCCTAACGACGCAACTTCTTAAAACGATAACAGAATCCTAACATTCCATCAGCAAAGGTTGTTGGAGTTTCTTATGACATTTAGACTCTGGGGATCAAAGAAATGAATGATCGAAACATACCAGCCGAAGTCGTGTCGGAGAAAGCGTGTCGATGATGCAGTTTCCGTAATGGGCGAAAAGGCTCCCATTTCCTCTTCTCACTGGCTCCTTTCTTGACAGTTTTGCTACCAGCCGATGGTTCACCACTACAAGTGTGGAAATTAAACAAACAGATGATGTGAACAACTAGCTACACACACACACACACATCATCATCATCAATTATTCTCAACAACAACACAGCTGCATGCTTAAGCACTGTGATTGAGAAGAACAGATTCAAATGCCATTTATTTTGTGTTTACATATATACATATACATATATGTTTGTGTGTGTAAAAGAGACATAAAAATATCAAACTTCAAAGCATAAACACATGAATCTTCTAAATTCTAAATTTAGTGTATACATATATACATATGCTTGTGATAATCCATGAAAACAATGATTCAAATGCCATTTACCTTATGAAAAACAAAAACTAAACATGAAAAACTCAAAGCATAAACACATATCAATGATTCTAAATTCAAAGAAACAAAGAAGCTTCAAAACACAAACAAATGACAAACCAAACTATTCAAACTAAAGTACCATGAAGGCTCTTTGGTATCTCCCATGGCTTCTTTTGTTTCTTTTTCTCAAACCATGGAGACCTGAGAAGCCAAAAGAGAATTGACATAGAAATAGAGAGGTTGCCAATGGAAAGAAGAGTGTTCTCTTCTTTGACGGATGGCCTGGTTTTTGTGCCTAAAAGCAGGCTTTGCCCCACTTTCTCAAGATTCAATCCATTCACTTTCTTTGGCATAAATCTAAAAAACAAAATGGATAATCAAACAGCTTTGATCCTATATTTAGCATGATGGTGAGCAGTTTTGGGTCTTTGGAATGTGGAACAAAGTCCACTAAAAAACCCATTTTTTCCCCGAGTTCATGCAAGTTTTTTGCTGATATGCTTCAGCCAGCAAAACCCTTTTTTCTGGGTCAAGAAGATGAACTTTACATGTTGAGAAAACCAGAGAATTTCTCACTTTTTTGTGCAGATTCAAACAAATCCTTTAAGTTAGATCCTTTGAAGTTTATATATGGAACGACGACATATATTCTTTAAAGTTAAGTTCCAATCTTAATGTTACAAACAAGGTAAACTAAAGGTTAAATTATAAGTTTAGTACTTAAACTATCAGTTTTAATCTATTTTAGTACTTAAATTTTCTTTTTTTTAAATCATACCTAAAGTTTATTTTTTGTTTCATTTTCGTATATCTCGTTAAAAACTTTAGTTTTTGTTTCATTTCAGTACCTCGTTTAAAATCAACATTAAGTTTTGAAAAAAAATGAAAGTTTAGATACTAAACGCGCTAAGTTTTTAACGACGGATAATAAAATGAAATAAAAATTAAACATTATATATAATTTTAAAAAATTGAAAGTTATGTACTAAAACGAATAAAAACTGATAGTTTAAATATTATATATATGTAATCACCCTGAACTAAACTGAGAAAATAAGTTTATAATATTTGATTTGAATTAATAGATTAATAAACTGAAATTATTATTTAATGAGATGACTCGTTTTCTATTTGAGTGTTAATTACGATAAATATTTTTTGATAAAAATAATCTGGAATTGTGATTGGTGATTCACACCTTTTTTTTAGGGTAAATTACATTATTCTCTATTGTACTATACTCTTTCTCTTGTTTTATTCATTGTAGTTTCAATTTTTCTAATTTACCATCGAACTTTCGAATTATTTCTTTTTTATCACTCTGAATTGTTTTATTATTATTTCGATATGATATGGTATTTTTTACTATTATTTAATATAAAATAATTGAAAATATAAAATAAAAACAAAATATGGTCGGACGTCACCGTTGACCACCGTAGTTGGTGACCATTCGGTCTCAAATTTCATGGGTCGGTTCGTCTCAATCCTCTAAGTATGAATCCGATGATTGTTTTACAGGAAAATGTCTCAAACTCCATGAAGCTCGACTGAAAAGTTTCAGCTTCCTCACTTTCAATCTCTAATTCATGGACTTCGGAGCAAATTTCGACAAAATGGAGATCAGATTCAAACTGAACAATCACCATCTACGGTGGTTGGCAGAGGCGGTGTCCGACCACCTTTTTGTTTTTAATTTATATTTTAACTTATTTTATATTAAATAATAATAAAAATGCCATGTAATATGAAAATAATAATAAAAATAATTCGAAGTGGTCAAAACAGGAACAATACGAAAATTTAGTGAGTAAATTAAAAAAACTGAAAATACAATAGGTAAAATAGGAAAAAGAATATAGTTCAACGAGGAATTATGTTTTTTTTAATTTGATGATTCATTAATATAATTTGACTTTAATTGAGATATTATTATCAAAACCATAAAATAAAAAAATATTGTGTGCCTAAACATTTTAAAATTTATATATTTTAAAATATTATAACGACAATAATATCAATTGAATTAAGATTTATTCGACTATTATTGGAGAATTAACTTAAACCTATGTCCAAACCTAGACTAGAACAAGTCCTAGAAGCCCAAAGACTTGGGTTAGGTCTTGTACAAATTATTTTATAATTTAAATCGTTATGAATTATTATTTATTAAATAAAAATATTTCATCTTAATATTTAATCTTAATATTTACTGAATTATGAATTAATTATTTCAATTCGATTACAATTTGTACGGATCGCAGTCAAAATTCATACGATGAATACACATCCAAAACAAATTATAATTTCATGTTGGCCCTAACGTACAATTCATGATTTAAGGTTTATAAAATATTTTTCACTTAAAATAATCTAACTCATAATAATAATATATATAAATAAGTTTAAAGGTCACTTCTGTCCCTGAAGTAGATCAAAATTACCATTTTCGTCCTTATCGTATTTTCTTATTAGCTTAACCCTCAAAGTTATTTAATTGCATTTCTTAACCTTAAACCCTAAATATAATATCATAACATCTAAACTTTAAACCCTAATTTAAAACCCTAAACGATAGTAAATACTTTAAATATTGATGCAATTGAACAATTTCGATGATTAAATTAATACAAAAATATTATAGGAACGAAAATGATAAATCGAATCTACTACATGGACAAAAGTTACCCTTTTACTATATATATATATGTGTGTGTACGTGTGATATATATATATATATATATATATATATATATATATATATATATATATATATATATATATATATACATTGCATGTATATATGAAGACACGCACATTTTACGTGGTTAGAGAAAGCATGAGGCTTTACAACACTAAATTTACGTGTAAGCATCTCTATTTAAACCATTCTACGCTACGATATTGTTGGACTTGGAATAACAATCACGATCTTTAAACATATTCGTTTATAAATAATAAAATAGGTATAAAAGATATTAACAAATAAATTTATATAAATCATAATCATAAAATAATGTATATAAATATAAAATGAAAAATTATATTATACATGAGGATGTGTAATAGTTAAATTTTACCGATGTATTTATTTGAATGATTTTGAACTCTAAATATTAATATCTAAATTATTAATCATAAACTTTGAACCCTAAATTATAATATCTAAAGTAATCAACCGTCTGGACAAGAGCAGAATGATTACTCGATAGTTAGTTTATTGCTCATAGAGGTTTACGAGGCTCTTGATAGACAGACACAGTCTAAGGTGTTATATATGTCGCGTGGCGAATAAGGTTGCTCATTCACTAGTTAAATGAGCATTGACGAGAACCAACCCGTTTTGGTTCTATTAGGACGAACTGGATTGTATTAAATAAGATGTATTGTTGATGCTATCCGTATTTGAATGAAATCGAAATTACTTTAAAAAAATCAATATAATTTACTTATATATAATTGATTTAAATTTATACGATAATAACATAATCAAGAGTGATTAAAGGAATTATTGTTATTTTTAGAGGTTTCGAATTGGAGCACTAGTAACCATATGGTATTTAAGCGTTAATTGTCAAATAATTTAGAGCATTTAAAACAGATACTATCATTTGTAAACATCCTAGATTAATAAAAAAAATATACGATAAAATATATAAATATGATACGAATACACGAATTATAAAACGTGAACTAGGGAAAAGTTGTTACATAGAGTTCTCTTTATAAACACCAATGCTCAATCTTTGCCAAGTATCAAGAGAAACTTTTATGCTACTTGCAGTGTTTCGCTTTCATAAAAATGGCTAGACCCGGCCGCACTGCCGCCGCCTCTTCGGTCCCGGGAAAAGTACTCGCCGGTTGGGGGAACCTTCTCAAGATCCTCCCGACAGGAGCTGTCTTCGTGTTTCAGTTCGTCAATCCTGTTTTAACCAGCAACGGCCAGTGCGACATTATAATTCGCAAGGCCCTCGACCTTGTGTTCATTGGCCTTTGTGTCTTTTTTTGTGTTTTCGCTTGCTTCACGGATAGTTACAGAGACAATCATGGCGCGGTTCATTTCGGTGTAGCCACGTTTACCGGCCTCTGGCCACAGCCGATTTCGGATTCCATCGACTCGTTTAAATACAGGCTGAGGGTCGGTGACTTCGTTCATGCATTTTTCTCGGCCATGGTGTTTACAGCTTTTTCTCTGTTGGATTCCAACACCGTGAAGTGTTTGTATCCGACTTTGGAGTCGGCCGACAGTGCTTTGGTCATGGTCTTGCCGCCGGTCCTGGGAGTGATTACGGGCGTCATTTTCATAGTGTTTCCGTACACTCGACACGGTATGGGCTACCCTCCAATTCTGGCGGACAAAGAGGACAACTCTTAGATTCCTTTGGCCATTGATGAATAAATGGTTACATAATATGATGCAGTGTGTATATTTATGAGACAGTTGATTTATGCTGTGTTACAAAGATGTATGAATGGGAGTAGGATACAAATATATGTTAAATATGAATATAATTATTCGAATATATTGATTTTATAATATTATAATTTCATTTACATATTATATTAATTGATTTAGCAGACATAAAAATTATAATTACGACTTAAAAATAAATAAATATGATTCAAAATATGAAAGCTAAGAACAGCACTGCAAATAAGCATATAACATCTTCATGTTATCTGATACAAAAGGGTTCAAATAACCATAAGAGGGCTTTATTTTTATTTGTTGACATCGTACAACTCGGTTTTTTCCCTGCTGAAACAACTTTCCTTTTTCCTCACACCGAAGGAGCTGCGTTACCCGGAACAAAGTTGATCGAGACGCTGTTCACACAGTGGCGTTCATCGGTCGGAACCGAGAACCCTTCCCCTTTGAAAACATGACCCAAGTGCCCTCCACAAGCTGCACATGTAATCTCGGTTCTTCTCCCATCAGGATCGGGCTGCAAAAGACATTGGTTGTATGTTTATGATATGATCGAAGGCAAATAACACTAGTACGAAACTGGAAAAAGACGGGGATTCAAGAACGAGAAAGATTCACAGTTCGGTTTATGGCTCCAGGGAAACCCTCGTAGAACGCAGGCCAACCACAGCCGGAGTTGAATTTGGTCGTGGATTTGTAAAGCGGTGTCCCACAACCGGCACAATTGTACACCCCTTCCTCGAAAAATTTGTCATACTCTCCGGTTCCTCGCAACCTGTAGATGATGAATATGAACCTTTGAGCAAGTAAATACAAGCAAAGTTCGAAGGTTCCATGTTTAGCAAAATCAAAAGTTTAATGGTATTGAAGGGTAAATTCCAGCATTTTGAACTCAGGCATTTCCAGAATTTCATGTTACAAAACCAGACCCGGGAAGAGGAGACTCATGAAATGGAAGAAGATAACAGAAGCCGGCCAGAACATAATAATATAAGAAGCACAACTATATGTCATTAATCAAAGACCTTGTAACCATTCTGAACAATGACTACTGGTGTCTGAGACAAGTACCCTAGAGACACCTCCACACCGACCTGCATAGTAGTATCTACTTCAACCTATTGGAACTCAGTTTTCTCCATGAAGATGTCGAGTGGATTGAAAATGGTGTAAAAATCGGCATCTCTAGTTAAACTATAATACGTAACCTACGAGGATTCATGGCTGTCGCCGGGATCGTAATATCTTTTCCCACTACAATGAGGACCCATGATGCTAAACATCAAAATACACACCAACTTTTTAGGTGCTATTTTCTTCAAACCATTGGGTTTTATCGTCCTGCCTACCAAAAGTGCTTCATCGGTTGAAGATAGCATGGACACTTATATACGGGTTAAACTCTAATACACACTCTGATTTATGAACCTTCTTTAGGACAATGACAAAGATATATCCGACAGAGACTGGTAATAAGCTCTCTTTTTATTTTCTGAGGGCATTGTAATCCAATTGTATCAAATATTAAATGAATCTGAAACCAACTTTCTTCTAGATCATATAGAAACATTTTTCCAATTGAAGCCCATCAGCAATCAGCTTGGCAGCTTCACGGACCTTCCAACTCATCCGGGAGATGTTTGTGCTCGGCTGGCACAGGCAATTGTCTCTCAAAACCTCGGTTTTTAAAGGTGCTAGGCGCATTGAGGATTGGTCTAGGGAATACAATATGTTAAGTATGACCCAAATTCTTTTTGGCTCGGCTTGAATAGTTCACCGTGCAACCCGATTGGTAAAGATATAAATTGGAAGAAAAAATGGGAAAGTGATGGATGTGAAAACTCGGATCTAGGATTCTATTTTGTCTGTACCACTAACGGTATTAAATTGCGGTCGCAACGCAACCGCAACCACACCGCAACCGCATCCAAGGTCACCACGTCACCGCAACCGCATCCAAGGTCACCACGTCACCGCAACCGCATCCGAAAGTTATTTTTAGGAAACAAATCACGACGCACCATGACACAATATAGTAGGTAACTAGGATTCTAAGATCTGAGGTTCTCACATACAATTTTCTTATAATTTGTCGTGGACTATAGCGAAATTCTTCTTATGTGTCACTGGTTTTTTCGTTTATCTGCCAATTACCAGGGTTCGACTAGCAACCGGCAGCCACAGGTTTCTCTCGAAAGAGAGGGAAGAACACTCACAGACAACTATCGGCTACAACAAGAAAACTATAAAATATCAGCTACAATGCAGGTGAAATCGTAAAGCAAACAACAAATTTCACAGTTTCAATCCGAACCTGATATTATGACAAAGTCAACCCAAAAACACAATCGATGGTACAAATCAAAGATACAGATTCCAAAACAACGCAAAGATTCGTAGTAATGAAATTGAATGATGGGATCGATTTCTTACTCGGTTCCTTTTTCACGCAGAATCCGAAACTGCTCCGGCAAAAGAACCGCCCGCCATTCTTCCTCCGTTTTCTGAACAGAACCCGATGATGCACTCATCTTCAACGGCGGCAGTTTACGAGGCTCGAGTCTCTAACTGCGCCACTTATATACGTGAAAACCCAAGCGTGAATCTAGACTGATACTTCGAAGAATTTATCTTTTTGCTGTTTACTCTGTTTCCAGAAAATGAAAGTGGACGGGAATTCGGGAAAAGGGGATAAATTCATAGCATTTTAGCCGGCCATCTAATAAAGGGGGAAATGCCTATTAGGTACCTCCTTTATATGAACTGACTCAAATTAATCCCATCGATTATTGAATGAATAATTTAATCCCTTGGTTCACATTCAGCTTCGGGTAAACTACGTATTTAGTACCTAAACTATCAGTTTTGATCCATTTTAGTGCCTAACATTTCAGTTTTTTTAAAATCATACCTAACGTTTTATTTTTGTTTCATTTTAGTACTCTACCGTTAAAAATTTAACACACTTTGTATCTAAACTATCAATTTTGGTCCATTTTAGTACCTAACCTTTTAATTTTTTTCAAAACTTAATGTTAAATTTTGAATGGGTACTAAATGAAATAAAAAAACTAAACATTAGATATGATTTTGAAAAAATTGAAAGTTTAGATATTAAACCATATTAAAATTGATCGTTCAGATATTAGACGTGTAATTTTCCCTTAATATTTTTATTATGTTCCTTTTATAAAGTACTGAATTAAGGATCAAATTCTTCAAAATAGTTAAATAAGTATTTAATCTTAAAATAGAGAATAAAATGATTTTTAATCTCTGGAATTTTTTATTTAATCAATTTATTTATTTACTTCATATTAGTCTTTGTATTTAATTTTTTATTTTAATCCTTTTGTTAATGTGATATTTTGATATTATTATACGTAGAATAATTTTAAAGTGTCACAACATTAAAATAATAAAAAATAAATTATTTATTGATAGAATGTATAAAGTTAGAAAATACCTCTAATATACCATCAAATAATTAATTTGAGTCCTTTTTTTTTTTTGAAGTAATTTAGCTCAAACGTTTTATTTTGAGGTAAAATAATCTTTGATTGGAATAAACAATTTGTTTACTAACGGTCAACACTTATCGTTGACATTATAAGTCTTATGTGTACGTAAGTATTAACATGTTACATACCACATGTACATAAGTAATAACATGTCACATGTCATATCATCACTTTGAACGCATAACACTTGTTATGTCATCAACAAGAGTTTATTATTAGTTAACTAACGATTTCAATATAATCAGAGGGCATCTTACCCAAAATAAAATGTTTGGGGCTAAAATACTTACAAAACAGGGATGCAGTAACTATTTTATCAAATATTATGGTAAATTACGTGTGTAGTATCTAAATTATCAGTTTTAGTTATTTTAACACCTAAACTTTAATTTTTTTCAAAATCATACATAAAGTTTAGTTTTTATTTCATTTTAGCACCTTCGTCATTAGAAACTTTAGTTTTTGTTTTACTTAGTACCCCAAAATTTAACGATGGGTACTAAAATGAAAAGAAAACTAAGCATAAAAATTGAAAATTTAGGTATTAAAAAGATCAAAACTGATAGTTTTGGTACTAAATACGTAGTTTACCATAGATTTTAACATTATATTAAAAAAATTAGGGATGATATTGAGAAAAGTTGTCAGTTCAAGCACTAAAAATTAGTTTATCCATTTAAATAATTATTCCCTAAAAAGTATGAGCTTTTTGGGCCACTAATGGATATGGGCTCAGTATGAATATCTCATAAGCTCAAATACAATAGAAGAAAACGGCAGCGTTTAAGGTTTTAAAGCTTTGAAAAGCCAACACTTTTGTTGATGAATCTGGGTTTCTTCTTCTTAATTTACCAGTTCGCTCTTCTCCTTCCTTTATAGATTAAAAAAAAAACCCAAGATCACTGAGCTCCATTGTTAACAGATAAGAAAAGACCCCTTCTATCGTATCAGCAAACAAAACCCATGTTTTGAAAGCTCCCGATACGCCTTAAAAGTGCACAAAGAAACAAGGAAGAAACGTGGGAAAAAAAACAATGTCAGGGTTTGGGAAACATTCGGGTCCAACAAGTGCCCCGAAATCTGCAAACCCTTTTCAGTTTCAACGCCCTCCTCCTCCTTCCACCGCTCCCCCGATCAGACCCGCGAGGTATTTTTCTTTAAAGTTTGTTCTTTTGAGGGCTTTAATTTGATTTCAAGTGTTTTTTGAAGTTCAAGTTAATTATATTTTTTGTACTTTTTTAATGGTTTTTATAAGTTTTGGGTTTAGGAGATTGGTTGCATCGAATGGCGGATTGAAGAATGTGGGAAAAATATGGAACTTTATAGTGTTTTTTTATTAGGGTTTGAATTTATATTAAGGCTTCCATTTTCCAACTATACTTTGGGATTGTTTTTGTTCTTGTTGTAGAGTAAATGAAGCTGTAGACAGAGTACGGTCACCGTCGTCGACTCTTGAGTATTCTGGTCCTTCTGTGAGACCTTATCAATATGGTGGTGTCCAGAGGTAAGACCTTATGCTATTTGTATCTTATTTGGATGTAGTTATTTTAGTTTGCTGAAGTTTGCTTCTCATTGTTTGAATTGCTTTCTTTTGTTGCTTGTGATATGGCATCGCTTATGTTAACATGTGAAATAGTTCATGTATAAGTTCTACAATCCATAAATAACTTCTTTTTTTCTGTTGAGAATTGATTCTGGAGTTGAAAGATGGATGTATTTTGTACTGTAATATGTGTTGCAATTTTTTTTACTATGATATAGCAGAACTTATTTTGTTCCAAAATACTGATTTGATGGTTATTGTTCTCTTCCAGGCCTGTTGAATCATATCCCAGATGGGATGATGGAAAAATTTCCTTAAAAGATTATGATGCTCAAATTCGTCCCAGGCCAGTTGTCACCGCATCATTTACTGCTCCGCAAAATTCAGAAACTAACTTTACTGCCAAGGTTAGATTTCAAGAGCCAAAGACACCACCAAGGGTATCTTCAGATGACACTATACCAAGAAACTCCACTCAGACGATCCTTCAAAGGCATGTTCACACTTCCATTTTTCAGCTACTTGCGTGAGATAGTATAGTTTTTCTTCCTTCTGGATATTGGACCTGAATTGGTGCAATTTTGTGACATCTTAACTTGGTTTTTCCCTTTTCCAGTCCCACACGAAGCTTTTCATGATGATTTCCATTATTTTTAGTTGTTTTATGTGTGCTTCTTGCTTATAAATGGCCGTCTACCAAGAAGCTGCTTGAAATTGTCATCTATGATCTATCTTTAACCGATCTTAAGACTTGCAGTTTGAATGTGGAAATTATCTTATTAAATATCCGGACTGATCATTTTGTCTTTCATTCAAGCCATGGATTTGGATAAATCAACTCCTTTAACTCTCTCTAGTATTTATGTTCAGTCATGATCTTGGGATTTTCATTGAAGATGATTTCTTGGTATGGTTGAGACTTTTATGCAGGCAATGTATTTGTCAGGATATGTTATGTATGTTGTCTCACTTGCGGAATACCTTGAAAGTAACGAGTTCTGACAGATGTTTTAATTTTCTTGCAGGCCTTCTTTTCGTCCCCAAATGCCGCACAATCCAGTCATATTGCCAGCCACCTATCCCGATTTCCCAACTCGTCAAGACCGGTCTGTGGTCTCACCTCATTTAGGTTCCCCTGACTACAGATTTGATGACAAATTTTCTCAGGAGCATCCCATGTTTTTTCACAATGGCTCTAAAAGGCGAGTAAGCAATATTAGCCTATGCATAAATGCACTTTTTGGCCATCTTATGTGTTTGAAAGCCATAATCTTAAAAAGGCAAATGGTTCTTGGAAGTCAATCCAGTCAATATTGTATGGTAGTGTTGACTATAATTTGTTGGGAAATCAAGAGATCATGTGCTCATGCATACAAATTTGTTTTACTGTCTTGCTGCGCTAACCCATTTCTCTTTGTGCTTTCTTCTTTTCCTTTCCCTTAATTTGGTTATTTACTCTTGCAGGCCAATGGGATCTCCTCCTAGGTTAGGTACCAAGACAACTTCTCCTAGCTCTAACGTACCAGCCCGTCCGAGATCCTTGCCTTCTGCGGGAAATGATCCTTATCTTGCAGTGCCTCCAGTTTCTAATAGAACAAGGTCTACTTTAATTTACGGTGATGAATTTCTTCAGGATAACTCCACTCCTATTGAAGTGCAAAACATTGCGCCTTCAGTTTCTAAAAGAACGAGGTCTCCTCCAATTTACGATGATGAATTTCTTCAGGATAACTCCACTCCTACTGAAGTGCAAAACATTGGGCCTTCAGTTTCTAAAAGAACAAGGTCTCCTCCTTTAATTTATGATGATGAATTTCTTCAAGATAACTCCACTCCTACTGAAGTGCGAAACATCGGCCTTTCAGTTTCTAAAAGAACACGGTCTCCTTCAATTTACCGTGATGAAGTTCTTCAGGATAACTCCGCTCCTATTGAAGATGATACTGAGCGGTAAGTTCTAATATCCAGTAAAACCAGTTATTGTATATTGCATTTATTATTAGTTCCAATGGTTGGTTCTATTAATAAATTGAGGTACTCTTTTCCTCCTTCCGTTGGTTGGTTCTTTCTTTCGGGAAAGGGTCTACTATGAGGGAGGTTTTTAACGAGGCCTCCTAATTTTATCAAAAACAAAAAATTTATTATTAGTTCCAATGTTCTTCGTTATTGCAGAGAATTGCAGGCTAAAGCAAAGCGATTAGCTCGTTTTAAAACTGAATTGAGTGAACCTGATCGGATGAATCCTCCGCATTTTGCAAATCAAAGATTGTCTACAACTAGATTTCAGCACAATGTGGAAGAGAAAAATAAACATGTTGGGGAACAGTCTATGGATTCATCAAGGGAGTTCTTGAATGACACTGTTTTATCTGATTTTGACGGCACAGAAGCATCCAGAGTCATTGTTGGGTTATGTCCGGATATGTGTCCGGGTATGTTCCTAGACTCTCGAAACCTTGGAGCAAGCAATTATCAGGGATATTCGAAATAATACTTCGAGATAGATATTAATGGGGATGTTGATGTCGAAACTACTGTTTTTTTTATAGAAAAAACTACTATTTCTTGAAACAACGAAAGTCACTTTATATTGTTCTTCTCCTTCGGTCTTCAGTTTTATCTGATTTCTTGTGTCTCGGGGAAGCGGTTATCTTATTACATGTAAAATAGCTGTCTAAAGGACAACAGTTTACATGTTGATGTGATCCACATGTTTCAATTTTCAGAGTCCGAAAGGGCAGAAAGAGAAAGAAAAGGTGATCTTGACCAGTACGAACGCTTGGATGGTGATAGAAACCAAACAAGTGAATACCTCGCTGTTAAGAAGGTAACATGAAAAGAAACTACTTGTCTCTGTAATTTGTGTGATAGAGAATAATTAATATGCTCTCATTTACTATACAGTATACTAGAACAGCTGAGAGAGAAGCAAGTTTGATACGGCCCATGCCAGTCCTGCAAAAGACGATAGACTATCTACTTGATTTGCTGGATCAGCCGTATGATGACCGGTTTCTTGGAATATATAACTTTCTCTGGGATAGGATGAGAGCAATTCGGATGGACTTGAGGATGCAGCACATCTTCGACAAAGGGGCTATCACTATGCTAGAGCAAATGGTATGCCCTTGCAACCAGATCTTTTTCGTGGTGATTCTTGAATGATTATGCATGTTGAGTAAAAATCAACCCAACAAAGTATCATCAGAAAAAGCTCATTTCATTTTCATGATTAGATGGAAAGTGTCTTATTTACAATATGCTTGTGACTTATATTTACATAAATTGTTGACAAGGTGCACATTATAGTTGTTCCTGTTAGGGCTTCAAATCTTTTTATTTTCTGAATTCTAGCTGTTAGCTGTTGTGAGAAACATTTCTGACACTATATGTGTTATTCACTTGTAACATGACACTGCCGCCGCCTAAGCTTCTTCCTTTTGGATTCCTTGAACTATGTGGCATTTATATTAGAATGATGAACTGATAAACATGGCTGTTTTATGGTATTGCATACATTTTTGTTTGCCATTGTTTACCATCATACCTAAAGCATAAGCTGTAATTTGTTGAATTTGGAGACAAATATCTAAATGTGCTCTCAAGATTAACGAGTGGTGCTGATTGCCGTGTTTGTCAGATAAGACTTCACATAATTGCCATGCATGAATTATGTGAATACACCAAAGGAGAGGGCTTCTCTGAGGGATTCGATGCACATCTAAATATTGAGCAGATGAACAAAACATCAGTTGAGCTATTCCAAATGTATGACGATCACAGGAAGAAAGGAATAAATGTTCCAACAGAAAAGGAGTTTAGGGGTTATTATGCACTTCTCAAACTTGACAAGCATCCGGGGTATAAAGTAAGTCAACACAAATGATAAATTGATTATACAATCTTTGTTAACTTTTCTTTGAAAATAATTACTCTCTATTAGGTAGAGCCTGCGGAGCTCTCACTGGACCTTGCTAAGATGACTCCAGAGATACGACAAACACCAGAAGTGCTATTTGCTCGTAATGTAGCTAGGTTGTTACTTCAATTAAAACTTTTATTGCCACTGGGGTGTTGAACTTGGTCTAACCATTTAAACTCTTCGCACTTCCAGGGCTTGCAGAACGGGTAATTTTGTTGCCTTCTTCAGACTTGCAAGGAAGGCAAGCTACCTTCAAGCATGTTTGATGCATGCTCATTTTGCAAAGGTATCTCCCATTTCAACATAAAACTCTCAACTTCTTTGTATTTGCATGCATTCTATGCTATTTTCATATTTGTACCATTTCTTTTGTTTGCTGCTTGGCTCCAGAGATGGTGTTCTGGACAATCGTGCCTGCAGGAGCAAAAACATTTCCTGTGATAATACATTTATGCTATATTTGAGTCCGACTAAATTGTGCCATTCATGGAAGGGCATTATGTCACAAGTCATCTATAAATTATGACATTTACTCTTATGTACTGCATAATTCTTGGGTTTTTTTCTTTTCTTTTCTATGTTCATTGGGGTTCGAATTATGGTGCTTTGATCAGTTACGGACCCAGGCTTTTGCTTCTCTACACTCTAGTCTTCAGAACAACCAAGGCCTCCCTGTTACCCATGTTGCCAAGTGGCTTGGGATCGAGGTAATATCCATAAAACAGAAACTACATTTTATTTTCATAATCATGTTGAGTTCCTTATTATCTTATGCCACTTTTTGACTTTGGATTTAGGAAGAGGACATTGAAAGCATTTTAGACTATTATGGTTTTTCAATAAGGGAATTTGAAGAGCCATATATGGTGAAGGATGGTTCATTTCTTAATGCTGAAAACGACTATCCTACCAGGCGTTCAAGACTGGTTCTTCGAAGACGATCTAGAACAATAGCTGGAGATGTTGTAGCTCCTCATGAAGTGACTCCCTTGCCCATAGTAACGTCAAAAGAGAGTCAACTGGGTAAAGCATATACACAAAGAGCAAAGGCCACACCTCCTAAAAGGAAAAGTTCCGTTTTAGCAGTCGATGAAGAAATGTCCGACTCTAAAGTTGTTCCTTCTCCAAAGTCTAGTTTGCAATTGCATTCTGCTACCAAGACATCAAAAGGGTTACAACAGCTCCAAGAGGGTCATATCCACTCTGGTTCCTACAAACCATTTAATTTCTCTTTGGATCGTAGTTCCCCTAGGTCACCTCCAGCTAAAGTTGGAGTTATGGAGAAAGCCAACAATGATACTCTTTTCACCATATCAGGAGACGGAACAAATGTTTCTGGCATGAAACAAGTGCCACTATTTTTTTCACAGGCATCTCAGCCTGAGAGATTGCCTAGTGGTAGATTTGATCTCCCTGCAGAAAACTCCGTACCTCGAAGTATGGCTGATAATGTAAAATCTCTGCCAGTGAGATCCCCTAGTGGCAAATTTACAGACAACTCAATACCTCAAACTATGGCTATTACCGACTTAAAATCTCAGTCGGAGAGGCCAAGTGTCAAATACAACTATGCTTTGGGAAATTCAGAACCTCAAGGAATGGCAGTAGATGGTTTAGGAGATAAACCTCGGGATAGTCATCAAGAACTCGAAAATCAGAAAATAGTAGCGAATATTCAACATAAGGAAGTTGCCGAAGCAAAACTCAAGTTGATCCTGAGGTCTGTTAGATTGCCAATCTGGTTTTAGCTTACACATTGTGTGATATTCTTAACTTATCTTTCCTTTCAGGTTGTGGAGTCGACGTGCTGCAAAACAAAGGTTGTTACGTGAACAAAGGCAATTAGCAGCTGAAGCTGCATTAAGTTCATTACCACTGGGTATACCACTTCGGCAGAATAACAATGTAAGATTTTTTTTCTTATTCTACCGCAATTTTCAGACTCTGTAATTCGTTCTATGTTTTGCTTATTGTTTTATGTACAAGTAATTCTAGTTCCAATTTCTTATTTGAGACGTTTACATTGAGTTACTGCCCCTCTTCCTCCTGAAACTGATAGTTTTCGGTTCGTTACTTGTGACTGATATTTTATTCATTTTCGTTACATATTTCTATGATTGTATGGGCACATATTGCATTAGTTTCTGTTATTTCATTGTGTTTATTCTTATTCTATTTTTTTATCCTTTGTAGCAATGGAACACATTTGGTGAGCTTGACTTTGATCATGTCATGAGGGAGAGATACGAAAAATATGAAAGCTCATGGTCGAGGTTGAATGTTTCTGATGTAGTATCGGGCATATTGGGTCAAAGAAATCCGGATGCTAAATGCCTATGCTGGAAAATTATATTATGTTCTCCCGAGAGCAAACAAGGAGATCAACTGGGGCAAAAAAACCAGGTTGGCCAATTGGCAGCAGGCCCGTGGTTGTTCTCTAAGATTATGCCTTCTTCAGAAGATGGTAACGGTGATGATTTAGCCATAACATCTACTGGTGTGTCAATATGGAAGAAATGGGTTCCTAGCTTATCTGGTACTGATCTTACATGCTGCCTTAGTGTTGTGAAGGATGCAAGTTGTGTTAATCTATACGAGGCCACATCTGGCGCAAGTGCAGTATTGTTCGTCGTATCTTATAATATTCCATGGGAGCTCCAAAAGGCCCAACTTCATAATCTTCTGAATTTAGTTCCTCCTGGTTCATGCTTACCGCTTCTAGTCTTAAGTGGTTCTTATAATGTCGAAGATTCTGATCCTTTCTCAGTTATAGTTAATGAATTGGGGCTGCATAACATTGACAAATCACGAGTATGTGGCTTTTCGGTTGTTTTCCTTGTTGGTAAGCAATATTCAGAAAGCTCGAATGGGTTTCTCAGTGATAAAAAGTTGAGGGAAGGGTTGAAGTGGCTAGCCAATGAATCACCTCTCCAACCTGTTATTAACGGTGTAAAGACAGGCGACTTTGTAATGTCCCATTTGAGTCCGGTTTTGGAGGAACTGGATAAGATGAGTGATTATGAAGTAGGTCCGAATCACTGCATCTCAGTCTTCAATGAAGCATTGGATTGGTCCTCGCAAGAACTTGCTTCTGCTATTAAAGCAAATCCTACCAATTGGCCTTGTCCTGAGATTATGTCGCTGAAAGATTTTAGTGACGAACTTTTAGCTGTGAAGTTATTCTTGCCGAGTGTGGGGTGGAGCTCGACAGAAAAAACTGCGCCACTTGAATGTGCGTTGAAAGATTGTCAACTTCCTCGTTTTCCTGATGTTATCTCATTGTTGCAAAGTGGTTCCAAGATGGGAAAGGATATTCATAACCACGTTTCACTACTTGAAAACTGCTTGACCGAATACCTAACACAATCGACAAAGATGATGGGGATTCAACTAGCTACAAAAGAGACATCCGTGATGTTGCAAAGAAACACACGGCTTGAGCTGCGCAACTTGAGCTACTATCTTGTGCCAAACTGGATCACAATCTTCCGACGGATTTTCAACTGGCGACTTTTGAGTTTATCAACTGAGGCATGCTCCTTTTCTTATGTATTGCAGACTCATCATGTCCCCCCAATGTCGGGAGACTCGATTAAGTTGCGGCTTGAAGTTGAAACTTCACCTCATTGTTTGAGTCATCCATCTCTAGATGAAATACTTGAAGTCGGTTATAGTCCCCTCAAGTCTCGAAGGATTAGTTTCGATCCTGAACCTTCTCGAGCAGAGACAACCTTCCATACTGTAGTTCAAGAGGCGGCTACAACAAGCATCTCCCAGAAATCATTGGATGAAGACAATGATTCTTCAAAGAAGCATGGATTGGCAATTGTAGATACAAGTAAAGCAAATGATATTAACGGTAAAACGACAGTTGCAGTTACCAAAACGGATAGATTAAGCCAGTTGTTGGAGAAATGTAACATAGTACAGAATAGTATAAGTGAGAAGCTATCAATATACTTCTGATATACGGTTCCCTTTTGTAACTTACATAACATTAAATTTGAGCTGGTTTTGTAATGTTATATTTCTTTTAATGTTTATTTTGCATGATGAGAAATTAACAAGGGTTTGCCTCTATTGGCCACCGTATGCTCTCTCTATAACACTTGTAATCGATAAGATCCTCGTATGAGCTCCTTCGGTAACTATGGTTGGTCAGATATCATATCGATATTGATCGATCATTTTGGTTCAAATTTCAATAATTACTACAACAGAACATAGATCATAATAGATCATAAAGCCAGTTAATTTGTCATTATGCAGCTTATGTATCATAAAAGTACTACAGTTAACACATCTCACGTGAAATATACAGAATTCATGTAGGGCAGTTAACAATCAAGGTCTCAGTCTCACATCATCCCAGCAGTGCTGGAAACAACTGAGCTTTAGACGCAACAAAATAGAGTAGTTCTCCCTCGGAAGCGGATTAACATGGAAGTGGCATATTTCTGGATCCCCCCGTTCATCTTGCGAACATCAGCCCTTACCTTGCTATAACATAACTTTGATCTCGAGAAAACAGTTTCTTTTCTACACATGTCCGGATTACTAGGTGCAAGATCACCGCCAAGAGCACACGTTTGCTTGGAAAATACAGTGTAATCAGCAAAACCAGCAAGATGTCATGGGGCCTTCAGATCATTCACCATGAGAGTCTTGCACCAAGAAAGTAACTTCTCTCTTTCCTTTCGTCTACCCCACATCTAATTGTAAAGGCCTCTGCCGCATCGGCGATGGAACAACAATCGCAGCACTTCGATTCATCGAAACACTCTGTTGGAAAGACTGCTGTGTATCTGAAAAATCACTTCTTACTGAACCATATGTTTCCGACTCCGAGACACTGCACATATTGAGACTTCCCTTTACCGACCTCATAACCATTGGCCTGCAATCCACTCCGCTATCTGTGGCACCAGCACCCGACTGCAAGAAATCAAAAAAGTTGGTTAATCACAATGCAATTAATGACAAGTGATTTGAATTCACATTTTTTTCTCTTTTTCCTGAATCAAGTCGAATTAAGTGCAAAACGAACTTGGTGATCTAAAAGTTCATATTTCAATTACTTCAATGAAAGAATACACCAGCACCAGGAAAAAGCTTGTATTTTTATACATTTGGAGAATTTGAACAGCAAGAGGAAAATTTAAATAGTGCATACATTTGACAATCCTTTAATCTGTACAATGATTATTGTAATATCATCGGTCCGATTTTCATTATCCAACCAAAGTTTGTAGGATTCTCCAGCAATTGCAGCACATGCATCCCTGGGATCCGTGTATGCCGCTGCCTATGTGAAGGAAAAAAATTGTTAAGGACATCTCAAATGACTCAAATATCTTCGAAGACACGTAACATGATAATTGGTGAAAACTGTCAAGACATCAATAGTTTAAAAGTTCACAAACGGTGCAAAAAGCAAAAGGCATTGGAAAACTCTTTTGTGCTACCATTTTTGAGTCTTGACGATATAAACAAGTTTGCAAGCATCGGTTTGCAAGAAACAAGCATTTAAATCTAATGTAAAGACACTTCATCAGTTGCATGCAATCAAAATGCAAATGAACAACCCTTTTAATGTCAATATATTAAGGATGGAAACACAAAGTATCATAAACAAGACAGAAACATAATTGATAATTGTATGAATCATACCATGTTGACAACAGTTTGACTTGGGAGAAACTCAAAAACTCCATCACTTGCAACAACAAAGAATAGATGATTAGGTGTGAGCTTAACAACTTTAATCTCGGGTACAGAAATCACACCAATCGTCTCCGCTGTACTATCGCCTACGCTCCTAGTAAATGCAGTCCCAGGATACATCCCATTAGGAACCCACAACCTTGGAGGATCACCGCCTTGGCTTTCTTCATCGCCCCAATTTTGAACATTCGGGTCTTTAAGGCCTTCCACTTGATCAACACTCAAGACCCTGGCACCGCAAAGCTTCACCCTTTCATACTCATCTTTCCTAAATGGTGTTTGATCCTCGGATAAATCCTCAGCCAAAACTTGATCCCCATCCTTAACAGCGACCACAGCTCTCGAATCCCCCACATTAGCAACATAAAGTGTATTCCCAACAACAAGCACAGTTATTGCTGTGGTACCACTCATAGTATCATCAATCTCACTATCATGTAACTCAGAATTGGTAGCTAAAAATGCTGAATTATAAGCTTTCAAAGGATCATTCAACAGTGAGGAGTCACTAGATAGCATCTCTATAAGCCTATCCTTAACAAATTTGGAACATTGAGCACCATATTGACCATGTCCATCAAAGACACCAAAGAAATGAACATTTGGGTCACCTTGAATTTTTGTTTTGATGCAGAAGCTATCTTGGTTTTCCCTCTCCACTGTGTCTGGGTAGTATCCATGCTGTGTTAAGGCTGAGCACTGCAAAGTAAATTTGTGAGATGGAACAGGAATCAACTCCAATGACCTTTCTGTGAGAATGTGTTTGCATTTGTAAGGTTTCTTTTCTTTACGGTGACCTGAATCACCATCTGATGATGATGGATATCTAGAACAACACTTTCCAAGAACACATCCCATGATTTCAAATCAAAATTACACACACACACACACACAAAAAGTGCAGCTTAAATGTTCGATAAAAGGCCTAAAAGAAACTGAATTTGAATTCAATGGAAGCAGTAGAAGGATTCAAACCGTAGGGCAAGTGGAGAAATGGGTTTTTGTTAAAGCTAACATTATGGGTATTTTAAGAGAAAATCTGATTAGAAGCATGCTTTAAAGAGACGAGAAATGGAAAACAATGAACAAAGGGAAACAAAACAAAATAAACCCTAGGGAAATCAACAGCAAAAGAAGTAATTTTTATAAATTTATAAATGACAATGCAAAAGCAAAGAGCGTGGGGCTTCTGAGAAAAAAGGGAAAGGCGAGAATAAACCCCAGAACAAGCAAAAGAGAAACAGTGATATTCTAAATCAAGGATGGGGAAAAGAAGCAAACACAGTGAGGCGATGCTTTCTTTTGATTCAAGGCAAAAAAAGAAAAGAAAAAAGATTTCTTCCTTGAGAGAAAACAGGGATCAGACTGTGATCAAGTTACCCGGGAAGGGCAAAAGAAAGGAATCAGTAAAAGAATCCCAAAAGAATGAAAAAAGAGAAACCCTAAAATTGAGGGGAAACGTGGGGTTGATTGCTTCAAGTTTTCAAACTTCGTTCGATAGAGAGAGAAAATGGAGGAAAATCGATAACTGTGCATGGGTTTGATTTGTCTTTACCCCGGGAAAAAGCAAGAACAAAGAGACGAAAACAAAGGAGAAGTAATTTTTAAAAATAAATATCAAAGCTTATTTTTATTTATAAATAATTTAAAATTTAAAATCAAAACTTCATATGAAACATGTATGAATATGCAAGACAAACAAGGTTCATGTCTTTAAGATTAACCTCGAGAAATTGTTGGTGCTTAAATTCGAAATTTTTAAAAATAATAATTAATATTCTAGGCTTTGGGTAATTTAGTTTGTATAAAAATAATTTGTAATCGAATACATTTATTGAATTTGTAATATGTATCTATGTAAGTAATTTAAATAATACACATTCAACGTCATCTCGATTGATCAATAAAATATTTATTTTTTATCCTATTGATATTTCTTACTCTGAATCGTCAGATTGCATTTCAATACGCGATTTGCTTTTCTCGGTAATTTTTCCACGTCGCTCTGTTATGATTTATAATTTATTGGGGTAATTTTAGAAGTCGGATCTGCTGTTGTGATTCATTTATCAATGTAATCAGATTCGTTTATATATTCTTTTATTCGAATTTTTTTTATTTTAATTGGTAAGTGTTGATTATTACATATTTTTGCTGTTATTTGCTCCTCGTTTACTTTACTAAAATAGATAATCACTTTGATGCATTAGGTAAAGGTTAGTTGTATTGTTTGCTTTTGTCCATTGGTCATGCTTTTGAAGCTTCCTTTTGCAAGAGAATAATAAAACATTTGATTAACGGATTGGTTCAAGTGATAAGAAACTTGATTTCGTTTAAATGAGTCTCGAGTTTGAGTCATTATAAATGTAAAAATCTGTTAGGAGACTCACTCATTAAAGTTAGTGTTGTCCCAAATCGATCCAGATTAACCAAAACAAAACCTTTAAAATACGAAGAAGAAAATTTAAATTGACCCGATCAAAATTCGACCCGATTTGAAAACAAATCAAACGGTCTAATTAATATATCTAACTCCAACATTTATAGACATTCTCTTTCTAGGTAATGTGTGAGTTATTGGTTAGTTGAAAAATATGGAAAACCATGATAAAGTTGGTTGAAATAATAAATTTGTGCTTGTTTAATCCCCCACCTAATGAATGACACTTAATCCTCCACTAACGTACAAAGCCACGTGTTTAACTCTAGAGGTCCAATAATAATATTTCACGTTAAACGTTTATATCTCTAACATTACGGTGGTCGAATCAAATAACAATAAATCTCTTAACTATTGAGATCGTTTGATTCGTGCAAAATCATGATTTTAAATCTCAACGTGTGTAAATAAAACAAACTAAATTGAAAAAATTGTACTTGTAATAAATCTATATAGGGGTGTGTAAAATCGGATATCGGATCCAATCCGATCCGATTTAAAATTTTGGATATTCAAAAATTTCGAATACTTAAAATAGTGACCCATATCTGATATGAAAAAATCGGATATATTAATTTTTAGATTTTCGATTTTTCGAAACGAATATCTGAATTCGAATATAAAATTTAATTTGACAAAAAATAATTTTAAAATTTTAAATTTTATGATTTAATGTTATTTATTCGATACTTCTACTATATATATGATTAATACAAACACAAAATAGTCTAATTTTTATTGAGTTAGAGCTTTAATGAGTTAGAAGGTTACTCATTTATTAAACTAAATGTATCTAAAATTTAAAGGCCCAATTATTTTTGGATAATCCGAAAGTGAATTCTATCTGATCCATATTCGACCTGATTATTCAAAAAAAATCGGATATCTGATTCTAATTATCCGAAAATCAAAATCAGATCAAATTTTCAAATTGAATCACCAGATCACCGTATCGGATCTTTTTGCACATTCCTACATTTATGTAATACCTTCCATAAATTTCAACCCAACTTTTAAAAGAAAAAAAATTCTAATTTATTTTTCTCTAATTTAACATTTGAATTGGATTTTTATGAAAAATATAACCAATTCCAAAACCCTAAATCATACTTTCTAAATGCCCAAACCGTTTCCTTCGTCATCAAAACCACCATTCTTTGTTTCTACTATCCAATTATTTTTTTACTACACAAATATATTTTTTGTTATAATAGTGGATTTCACACTAATAAAGTGACCTCCTTGATAAAGTAAAAGAATTATTGTTATTTTTTTCGATTCGAGTTCGAGCACCATAAATGTCAAGGATGTGAGCGTTCAATGTCGAAAGATTGATAATTATCTTTGAACATATATTGCCTTCTACTTGCTCCAAATTAATCAAAAAAAATTATATAGTAGGGTAAACTACTATACATTTAGTACCTAAACTATTATTATTTTTGTATGTTTTAGTACCTAAACTATTATTTTTTTTGTATATTTTAGTACCTAAACTATCGGTTTTGATCCGTTTTAGTACCTAATTAAGTTTAGAACAAGGGTATTAAAATGAAACAAAACTAAACTTTAAGTATATTTTAAAAATTAAAAATTAAAAATTTAAGTACTGAAATTTATCAAAATTGATAGTTTATATACTGAATACGTAATTTACCCTTTTTATATGGTGCAGTTGTTTATAATCACGTGCAAGCTATGTAGTCATATATATATATGTATACACCCGAATGATATATGTCAAAATCCTCATTATCATAAGACGTGAGGCTATTTTTCATGCGAGCTACATAATAGTTGCAAACCTTTTTTTTATGATTATTATTGTTTTAAAAGTGATTGTAGTTTAAATTTTAGATTTAATTATATTAATTTCGAGTCAAAGTATACAAATGGTTCGATTATAGGGTAGTATTTTATTAGGTCACCCGATTATTAAAAGTTATAAAATGATCATCTGACTATAGAGTGTTTCTTTGTCAAGTCCCTCAACTATTAAAAGTTACAAAATGGTCACCCGACTATTCATTACGTTCCAAACTCGTCCTTTTCTGTTAAAAAATTAGCAATTGTTTAAGCTGGATGTTAACATGATGACTGAGATGTGATAGTCGTTTTAAATTTTGGGATCATATTTTATCATATCAAAATTAGCAAGTTTACATTTAACTTAGAATACCATCAAAATTTAACGAAAAAATTACAAGTTTGAACACAATAAATAGTTGGGTGTTATTTTGTAACTTTTAATAGTCGAGAGACTCAACAAAACAACACTCTATACTCGGAGGATCATTTTGTAATTTTTAATAGTTTAGGGACTTAATAAAATAGTACCCTATAGTCGAGGGACTCTTCTTGTACTTTACCCACTAATCAATTAGATAAATTAAATTGATCGATTTTATTTGAAAAATATCTAAGATTATAGTTTAAGGCTTTAGGCCATTTAAATTATGAAAATATATAAAATTATCGAAAGACATAATATTATAAAAACAATCGTTATTTTAATAAATTTTGATTTTTTTTGGTTGGATAAAGTACATTATAAGTTATTAAACCATGTTATAGATGATCTTTTTAGTCGGTAAATTTTTAAATATTATAAAATGATCATTAATTTATCGAAAATTATTATAAAATAATCATCGTAATATTATAATTAAATATTTTGATAAATTCAAGGGTAAATTACGTATTTATTACCTAAACTATCATTTTTTGTCTATTTTAATTCCTAATCTTTTAATTTTTTGAAAAATCATATCTAATATTTAGTTTTTGTTTAATTTTAGTATATTCCGTTAAAAACTTAAATCGTTTAGTACATAAACTGTCAGTTTTGATCTATTTTAGTATCTAAACTTTTATTATGATTTTTTTCAAAATTTAACATTAAATTTTAAACGGGATACTAAATAAGAACCAAAATTTAGATATGACTTTGAAAAAAATTAAAAGTTTAAATACTAAAATAGATCAAAATTAATAATTTAGGTACTAAACATGTAATTTACCCTAAATTTAGTTACCATTTTGTAATAATTTGACTTTTACAATGATTATTTTATATCGATTCAATAAATTGTAATAACTAATTTAATTATTATATCCTGCAGATGTAACTGCTCGAACTAGAAACCTGGAAAAAATAATATCTCCATATAAACAAAATGTGAAATTTTCCATATTGTCCCACTACATTTAAACTTCAAAAATATTTTAGGCGTAACAAATCTAAGTGGGGTGCATTATAATGGTGATTCCAATTCCCACTATCGTCTACACCCCACCACTCTGATGTCGCCACGTGTTCTATTTAAAATCCCCACCACTCATTTTTACCTTTTTCTACTAAAGGCCACTCACATGAATATCTTTTTCAACCAATCAAATTCACCCACGTCATCATATTAGTTTTCCCCGCCAATTAAAAATTTTTACTCTCTAAACTAAATCCCCTTGGCTACCTTTTTCTTTTTATCTACCTTTCTTCTTCCTGTTGTTTTCTCCGATGTTATTTCCGGCGATTCGCCGCCGCGAACGTTTGGAAAACGAAAGAACCAGCGGCGGGGAACTCATCTATTGCGAACGTCCGGCATTT